ACATGTTGAACACAAATACCTGTACTTTCTACTTCTTACATGTTGAACACAAATACCTGTACTTTCTACTTCTTACATGTTGAACACAAATACCTGTACTTTCTACTTCTTACATGTTGAACCCAAATACCTGTACTTTCTACTTCTCACATTTTCCATTTGCCATGATTGGTCGTGCTTTTTACAGTACCACGGCTTCCACAGATGAAATTTGTTTATGTATTTATTGTCAAAGCATTTAATACATTCATTGCTATCGGGATGTTAAGAGCATTCCATGGAATATAACAACAAGTGTTTCTGAAATAAATTACCTACTCTACCGTTAAGTACATTTCAAAGCTCTCTTTACTTTGACTTGAGTAAAGAAGTTTAGTCAGTACTTCTACTTTCACCAGAGTATTTTTAAACACGAGTATCTGTACTTCTACTTGAGTGAAGGATGTGTGGTCGTAGAAATAGATGGCCCTTTTTCCAGAAACTAAATAGCATGGCTTAAAACACATGATTATATAAAACAGATTCTACAAACCGTAGTCGATGTTGAAGTTTCCAAAATGAGAAGCCAGCGTCGCTATCACCACCACGAAGAGCTCGAAGGGGATAGGAGCCTGGGTGAGGAGAAAGAAAAGAGAATAAGATAAGATAGGATAGGATGGAGCTTTATTAATCCTTGTGGGGAAGTTCAGTAGTTTAAACAGCAACTGGGTCAAATAGAAAAACAGGACAGCACAGATTCACACAGATGAATACAATCAAAGATAACCATTTTAAATGAGAAAATAACTATTGAAATGGACAAATACGTTCAGTTGAGATCATATAAGCTTTCCAGTAGGTAGTGTTGCAACTTATTTTATTTAAAGGTCTCCTATCATGCTATTTTTAGGCATATATTATGGGTCTCAGATATATATACAAATATATAAAAAACGTGTCTCTGAAACAGCATGGAGCTCAAACTCTTTCTCTCTCTCAGGTTTACCACAAGGTGACTTCCTTTTGATTTCCTGCTTCTTCACACACACTCTCTCCAGTGCAGGTTAGCTCTGAGTGTTAGCATGCTAATGTAAACACAGGACATATTACTTCCAGAACACGCCTCTTAGTTTCTGACAGCAACGTTTCTGATTGGCCCGTGGGGGTAAAGCCCGCCCACATTTGAGTAATGTCGTCATGACGCAGCAAATCTGGATCAGCTCCGTTGTTCCCCCGTTTTTAGAGATGTGGGTACGGAGGAGAAGAGAGAGGGGTTTATTTTCTGACGCTTTGAGAGTCTCCTGAGACACCGGAGACACACCGGGGACACACCGGGGACATACGGGGGACACACCAGGGACACATGGTGATGTAGAGAAGACATCAAAAAGTGCATTTTGCATAATAGGAATCCTTTAAGGCAGTAAAAATAATTTGTTTATTTGTTTCTTGACAAAGGTTAAGGGTCAAATGTTTGACAAGAATGCTTTTATTTTGAAGTGCAAGTATGTGTCCTGTTATGTTTTGAAATGAACACGAGTATGTCGAGTGCATTTTCCCCGTCTTCTAGCACACTTGTTGGAAACTGTTTTATTAATATAAAGTAAAGACGTTCAGTTTGGACTAGAATCGCTTTGTTCTTCATTCGGAGCTTCCATTACACATGAGGTAGAGGGGTGAAGATGATGGGAGGCTGGAACAAACCATTCACTCCAGCACTTTGCTCTGTAACGGCCAATGGGACAGAGCTGGACCCAGATACCCTGAACAAGACAAGCCTGTTGCCCTCCTGGCTCCAACATGTTAGAACAAGCTCCCCATTGATATCAGGCGACTGCAGACTGAATGGCTACCTGTTTCCCTTCTGCTGTGGAACCCCCCAACAATGCATCAGTTTGGCTTATTTGAAGCCAATATACCTGCAAGCTGTTTGTGTCTTTATGGTTTATTTCACTCATCGTTAGTCGCTTTGGATTAAAGCATCAGCTAAATGAATGTAAATTAAAAACGTTAAGTAATTGTCCTTTCTCGTTCATCTTGGGCTCAGACTTACTCTTCTCAGTTGAATGTTATTCCTGCTTTAGCTCAGTTTTGCTGTGACAATTATACCAAAACTATTAACAAGACAAAATAAGATTAACCCCAAAATATAGCTGAGACTGAGATGCAGTCATTGGCAGGTTCTCACACCTTCTTTAACCAAAGCAAACAACTACCTAACCCAGACTACTCTTATCTTAATCTAAACCTAGAGAGAGAGAGTTTCAAATATGTTAATAAAATATTTTAATCTGAATTAGATGCACTTTAAATGTAAAGGACTGTTTGGGCAGGAAGGCGGACCCAAGAGCAGTACAAAATGTGAAATCAAGTAGTCTTAACCAATAGCAAGCTTCAATTGACCAAAAAGCTGACTATAATCTTGGTCAACAAGGACTAACCCGGTCTGTTTACCTTCAGCTTGGCTTTGAAGCGGTCGTTGAGCTCCTTGGTCGGTAACAGGATCATCAAACACACCAGACTGGTCACCAGGTCGCAGACGTTGGTGTTCTGCAGGTTGGAGAGCACGCTGTACCACGTTTTGAAGAGCGTGAACCAGCCCTGAGGACGAGGGATCTTCAGACCCAGAAGGTATTTGAACTGGGAGGTTAGGATGGTCAGAGACGCTCCGGTAGCAAAGCCACTGAGCAGAGAGTCTGAGAGGTAGACGGAGACGAAGCCCACCTGGAAAATACCCATCAGCACCTGGGAGAAGGGAGCATGAATAAGAGGGGGTCAAGATTCAAGGCTTTTATTGTCCTTTATACATAGCTACAGTGTAGTTAGTTAGACTTTAGGGTAATTTCACCCAGAGTCCCCAGATTGTCAGTTCTTGCATATATTAGGGCAGTACCCGAATATCCGAATATTTGGTCGTTTGCCTACTATTCGGTTTTCAATTTCGTTATTCGGATATTC